CCGTCCGCGTGGTATTAAAAAAAACAAAACCAAATAGCCTATGTGTTCCTCCAGACTATCCTCCATCTGTATGCCAAATTTCATTGACATTCGTTCATCAGTTTAGGCTACAAACTCTAACAAACATCCATCTATCCATCCATCCATCTATCTAAACTTTCACATTTATAATATTAGTATGATTAGTATGATTAGCTGTTTAAAAAATACAGCTTCTAGCTTTCGCCCGCGGCTCCATCCGCGTGGAATTAAAAAAAAAAACAAAAGTGCAGGCAGAATTCTTTCAGACTATCCTCTACATCTATGCCAAATTTCATCGAAATTCGTTCAGCCGTTTAGGCTACAAACTCTAACAAACATCCATCCATCCATCTAAACTTTCGCATTTATATTAGTAAGATTACCAATAGTCAACAATGCCCTCCAATTTTTTCTAGTCCCTCTAGGCCTGCAGCGCCCATAAGGGGCCATTTTCGCCTATTTAACTAAAGATTTCCCAATTAAAGTGTTTCATCAAAATCAGTTAAGACGTACAAACATCCATCCAAACTAGTATTTATATTAATATCTACACTAAGGTCATTAATTTATAAACCCTGAGTTATGTTTCTTTATAAATGTGACAAGTATGGATAAAGTTAAGAATGTGTACATTAGACGTAGTTTGAAAGTAGCGCCAGTGGTGCAGAAATTGAGAAGCAAAAGGTTAGCGTGGTATGGACATGTGGGACGAGACGATGGGGACATAAACCTGAAAGTGTTAAGATTGAATGTGGATGGCTATAAAGGAAGAGGAAGACCGAAGAAAGTATGGATGGATTGTGTGAAAGAGGATATGATTAAGAAAGGAGTGGATTCAGATATGGCTGATAGAGATGTATGGAGCAGCACATACTGTGCCGACCCTCCGTAAGGGATAAGGGCAAGTGGATGATGTTATGTTTCTTTATAATTACTTACATAAATCTTAAATCTACACTTAGGGACTCCTAAGAGAGGACTCTGAGTAGTTATTTAAATGCATACACGTGAACTAATTTATCTAATGTGTTTTATTTTGCCTTCCCTCTACCGTATACTGGATTCCTACACGGTGAGTTAACACATTTATTTAGAACTAGCTGTTGCTCGCGACTTCGTACACATAAAATTTAAGAATATAGCCTATGTTATACACTGATAACCTAGCTTTCTAATAGTGAAAGAATTTTTAAAATCGACCCAGTAGTTTTTGAGTTATTTCAATATATACAAAAATACAAAACAGAAGAC